ATTGCTGTAGCATGACAATTACAGGAAAAGTGACCCGAGTACTGTAAGTCAGAATTTGTTACATCCACACAGTGCTCTGGGTTACTCGTTCTAATCAATCACAAGAAGCTAGGGGAGGAATACAGTGCAGCTTATTGGGTTGGCTATGTCTGTTCCAATTCCAAATGATGACAATGCACAATTCAAATTGGAAAATGAAAGAAATTACCATTTACTTTCAACAACAGCATTTGCATGAATATGTAAATGTGACACGAGGAACTGGTCTTTGTGATTATACACTTGTGGCGGATGATAATAAATTCAGACAGAGAGTTGTTTACAATCAAAGCCGATAGTTTTTTGTCCCTGAGGACAAGTTGAGCCAAAGCACATCTCAAGGCGAGCTGAGCAGTAGATGAAGGAGCTGGGATGATAAATCTCAATATTCATACACATTTTTGGCATTTATCTCATGTAACACTCATCTCAATATTTTCAGCTTAGCATACATCAGTTATCTCATAGCCCAACAAATGCTGCAGAAAGTCAATTTTGTGAATATTTCATCTTACTCGGTTGCAGGCCCGTTCCCCTCGAGTCATCTCTGTGTATCTCAGGCCTGTCGTCTGCATGACGAGAGCAGGGGTGATGCAGGAGTCAGTCTGAAAAAGAATGAATCACTTGTGGAGCTTTGCAGTGTGGAAGCAGATGACAGCTGGAGGGTAGTTGGAGGATGGCAGCGGACATGAGGGCCACTCAGGCTGTCTTTCTTTATAATAGCATCAGGCAGTTGAAGAGGAAATACTTGCAAGGGCAGGTGGTTCTTACCACCAGTAGTCCTTCATAAGAAAGCAGCAGGAACCACACAGGGACACATCAACTGGATAACACGAGGCGTTCATCTGACTGTCAATGTGTGCATGCAGTGAAGACAAAACGACAGTTACACTCATTATGACTGTAACGTCTCTTCAGTATTTTGTGGACAGGTGCTCTAAGTTTAGTACAATGAGAGCTTGTATGGGCCGAGAACATCGACAAAAGTGCACATTACCCCAGCAGGTCCTCAAACATTTATGAGTTCTTCAGCTCATGTTGCTCCACAGAGGCCTGTTAGATTTCATTGCATAATTCTGTGCTCTGTTCCAGCTTCTATTGTGCCAATGAACCTCTGTTTATTTGCTAGGATGTTTCCTATCACTGCTCCCTCAGCTAACAAGCCAGAATAACAATGACTTTTCATCATCGAAAGGACTGGTTGATCCCTGCTCATACAGCAGATTGTTGCAAAATGTGCTGCTCACACATCTAAGCGAAAACCTCAGGCTGTCTACATAGCGTGGATGTAATCTTGCTATTTAAACTAAATTAAACTGTGTTGGTAAGCTTTTCCAATATCATACAGATAATATGTGTAATAACTGTTATTTACCACGCTAAAGTGCAGTTTGTTTGTGAAGTCTGTAATGAAAACCGCAGGATATGAAACACTTTTGATGTTTATTTACAATTTGCCCTTATTCATCACTATATCTTCTCTCAGGAGCAACTTCAAAGATGTTGTGGCAAATGCTGCTCAAAATGGATTTGCATGACAACAAGATAATAGCAGGCATGCTCATTTAGAAACGTTCTGCTGTCAGGGCAGAGCTAAATCAGAAGTATTAAGGGCTGTCCATGGTTCTGAATTATCCACTGATTTATCCTCCTGCCTCCCTTTCTCTACCCCCTCCCCCCTCGGTTTCTCTCACTTGCACTCTATCGATCCATCTATCTCCTTTTGCTATGCCTCTCAGTAGTCCTACATCAACTACAACCTTCTCAACAGCGGTCTGCAAGTAATTTGCATGTTACCACAAAAGGTGAGATGGCATGAAATTAGTTTCATTAAGAGAAATGGCAAGAAGAGGCAGAGCTGTAAAGGCTGGCATGAGGAAACTACACGACAACATGATGAAAGAGCAGCTTTAACCAGCCTAGAAATGTCAAAAAGCTGAACTGCAATTTAACATTCCCAATTGCTGATACATATCAACCCTGCATGGCCCTATTACTGCTCAATGTATTGTGTAGCATAGCCTGGGAGATCAGATGTAACACAGATTGTCTGTGGAACTAATGCTAAAAAAATCTGACTTAATTGAGGTTCTTTTCCTCTTCATATAGACACTGTTGAGACCGACACATGCACAGAAGTGAGGAGAACTGTGATCCAATGGTGCCCACTAGTGCTCAAACTGTTTACCGGCACCTTCTCCAGCTGATTTAGGCTACACAGACTAGCAGTCCACAAACACTGCTGTGTTATACTTCACAGTTTAACTCACAGGTTCAGACTGTTAATGTTGCGTGAAATGACGAACAGCAAGAAGACGGTGAAAAAGGGGACCCATCGGTCTTGTTTACTGTTGGCTCACATACCAGTTATTTCCTGCTGTGCCTCTTGTGACGCCAACTTAACTAGAGAAGCATGTGCAGCGGGGTATCTAATTCTTAAGAGGAGAAGGAGAAGGTGAGGAGAGGGAGATGAAGAGGTGAGATGAAGAGGCGGGGAGAGAGCCTCTCCCTGCTGGTGTGAGGCTGGTTTCCCTCTCTCCTTGTTTCTGGACTGAGGGATGAGCTTGGATGGTGTGATTCATTTTCTCCATCGACTCTTCTGAGTTGTTTTGTACCCCACCTCCATCGGCTTGAAGCGATCACATTACAAGCACATGCACGCACCTGTAAGTGCACACACATAAACACACGGAGAGACACAAACGCAAAAAAAAAGTGTGAGAGCAGATGTTCAAAGCGAAAAGCTGCTCAAGATTCACAGACACAGCCTGTCTCTCTCTGACTGGCGCAATCCATTTTATATAAAGACGCCCAAATTTCAGTCCCAAATAAATTCAGCGACTCCATCATCAGCAACAGTCAAGAGAAAATGGCAAATGAAGTTTAGCAGACATATGGACACACATATGTCACACATATCCACCATCCACACACACGGGCCGGGGTAAGGACCTTTTTGTAGCCTCAGCTGCTTCAAGCTACTTGTTCTACTCTGCGTTCGTCTCTGACAACAGTTTTCATTTACTGACAGCAAAAGGTCAGAGCAGTCCTCTTTTACTGGATCACAGTGCAGGCAGGGCTGTGTAGAACACAGCCTGTCATTTATACACAGTGGCTCTCCTTATTCCTCTCCGTGAGACAGGCTTGTCCATTAGATGGGCCACCTGGCCATCATAAATGTTTTGCCCCTAATGATGCCGCCTCTAGGTATTCCACTAAAAGTTACAGGATTAATGAAATCAACACCTACCATGCAAAAGGAGGAATGCCAGTGCCCCC